AAAATCATGCATATATATATATATATATATATATATATATATATATATATATGACTTTTTAAGTTGTATGTGATATTTTAATATTTTAATTTTTAATCATTTATATATAATTATATGATTAAAATTTACTCTCCTCACTCCTGAATAAAACTAAAACACTCACTTTATTTATTCCTTGAAAATATGCCAAGAGAACTACGACCTGGGATGGATAACCTAATCTTTAGGATTTTGTTCATTTTATTTCTTATGACTTTAGGATTTTTTTTTCTCTTTAAGATGAAGATATCGTTAATTTGACTAAGAATGAGGAACGAATTTTACCTTTTTAAAGACATTAGAGCTAATTCAGTTGAGCCCACGTATGAGTATATGCAAAGCTCTTCAAATATGTAACACAATTTGAATACATTTTTCATAAATTTCTTCAAAAACGCTTATAAGAGAAAAAAAAAATTTAAAATTAATTTTTTATTAATTAAAATTAACTTATACATAAACTAAATTATAAAGGAGTAATTATGGTTCATCACTTTTCTGCCGTTTGACATATTCAATTACCTCATCTTGATGGTATGATTAACCATTGTCACAGCTACATTTATAATGCCAAACTGTAAAAATAAGCAGCAGCTAGCAGCTACTGCTTAAAAAAAATTAAAAAATAGTAACCCTATCTGCTTTAAGGAAAAAAAAAAAAAAAAAAAAGGGGGGGGGGGGGGGGGGACAAATAAAAAGCAAATTAGGAAAATAAGTGAAGTTAATCATATGATCATATCTGTACTTGATTACCTCATCTTGATGGTATGATTAACCATTGTCACAGCTACATTTATAATGCCAAACTGTAAAAATAAGCAGCAGCTAGCAGCTACTGCTTAAAAAAAATTAAAAAATAGTAACCCTATCTGCTTTAAGGAAAAAAAAAAAAAAAAAAAAGAGGGGGGGAGGGGGAGAGAAGAATTTACACTCTGGATTTTACTTTTCGTGATTGTCTTCATCCTGGTCTGTCTTAATTATGAGAGGCTGATTTAGATCTACTGAAGGTTCAGTGACAATTGGTAGCTCTGGTGAAGATGCAGTGCCATCCATATCTTCACATTCAGCCAAGGATTTATCTAAAGCAGCCTGGGCAACTTTAGTAACCCATATCATTAGAACCACTGCGCATAGCAGAAAACAATATTTCAGCCAGGCTAATCAAAGAAAACAATGGACTTGAGGGTCTTAACCCAGTTTTCCAAGCTCAAAAATCCCAACTTTCATTTTGGTTTATAATCAACTATAGATTCTCCAATCTAATACTCATGTAGTTATCACCATGTGAAACACATTACGTTACACATTAATTTTAAATAACAATAACAAATTAATCTATGCGAAAATCTTGATTCCTGACATAACTCCCCACATTCTCAAATACAACAACAACCAAGACTTTCGTCCACCACACTCCCAAATATTGTTGAAAATCCAAAGCAATATAAGCATAAACCAACTAAAGAATTGAGGCAATGATTATACATTATGTAATTTGATATAAATGATGGTGGCTATTCGTCATTTGTTTGCCTAAAATCTAAGTCAGTTTCTTTCTGTCTGCCACTCAAAAATTAACAAGCAGCAACATAAACCCAAAAAGTAGAGCCGCTGGACAGAGTACACAAATCTTAAGCTCTAGGCCACTTATCTGAAGCGCTGCAGCCCAGCCATTGCAGCACTGCGCTGGTGACACACAAAGCTACAAAACCTCACATGCAAAAAAAAGTGGAGGAAGACATGCAAGAGCAAGAGGGAGAGAGAGAACAACTTCTGGATAGATCATATAGGTTCCATATTCTATATTAGGTGGGGAAACAACATAACTTACCAGATATCACCAGGCCAGAAATGATCAAAGGCTGCATCCAAAAGAGAAATAAATGTTACATGTGAGATAAAGCTTGCCTATTTGATTCAATCAAGAAGATCAAAAGAGTGCACTCTCCGGGGCCTCTTAGATGTTCATCAGAAAAAAGATAAAGCCAAAGCTTAAAAAGCCCTTAAAAGGCTCATTAATACAAGGAACAAAGAATAGCATCTCTTTACCAAATGAGTCTTTGAGAACTCGCTCCAACCACGTGTCACATCTGATAGATCCTTGAGTGTAGTTCCAACATATACAAGTGCCAGTGTCAATGGCTGCAAGAGTAATAATATTGGAGGTAGTAAGATACAGCTGTAGCTGGAAGTCTGGAAAGCCATCTAGTGAGCTATAATGACACATGGATTATAGTTTATGTTGCAAGCTACACAGTTTTTACAATAAATCCAAAAGAGAAACAAGTACATCGTATATTTAGTTAAGCAAAACTTGTCATAGGGTTAATTACTTGTGGAATGCATTTGTTGATCCAACATTAGCATAATTTCCCTTTAAATCAATTGATCTCATATTTTCAAGATTTTTACATAAATTATTTTAAAGTTAAATGATATCCACTATCCACTACCATGCATGGTGTGCTTTCGATGTGGCGCACTGGCACTACCAACAATCAAAAGGAACAACTTGTATAACCCCAAAGTTGTCATGTTTTTGCATTTATCTTATGCTTATCTTAACCTTAATGAAAACCGTTTAGAAAACCTTTTTTTTTCTTGCTAATAAATAGTATGCAAGAAGTGACTACCACAAAGAAATCCAATTAATTCTCAACAATTTTGAATTTTGTAAAGCATGAAACAGAAATTCATTGTTAAGAGTAAAGCTCCCTACATATAATTGATCAGAGATGAAGAAGATACCATCATTCCTAACCAGGAAGCCAGCGTGTATTCCCCTAATGGAACAGGAGTTACAGACAGGAGGTAATTTAGGAGGCTAAATGGTACAAATGGAGCAAGCCGAAGGAGTAGTGAAATCTGTAAAGACAGTGAAATTAAAACAGTTATTCAGTTGAAAAAAGAACAAAGAAACACAATATAATTAAAATAGGACTAGGCAAAGATCTAGCACAATAATAGCCTTCCTAAGCAATGATTAGTAATTGTCAAGAATTATGTGTTGACTGAGTGACAGATATATTATAAACAGAATCTCATATGAAAAAGGTTGGTTCATGGTGCTTCATTCAGATGGATATTACTCTCCCTTTTTACTGATACAGTCATAGTTCTGTGAAATATTAACCATAACGACTAAAGAGTACTTTTTGTGCAAAGGCCCCATAGGAAAGGTGGGCAAGTGGAGCTAAGCAAATTATCCACCACATGTGGACCACTGCTATTAAAGAAGAGGCATCCACACTACTGATGATTTCTGATTTGGTGTAACACAATAATAGTGAACAACATAAATTTAAATCTGAAAGTATATTTCTTGTCAGTTTTAACAAGGAACCAAACTTCAGAATCACAATTACAGTCATGTTAAAGTATACATAAATGAATTTAATTTATATGCACTTTAGTGTAAAACATTTTTACATAGACATCCAATAGGATTTGATCATTTCACTAAATCATCCTATTCATTAATATGATGTAGAAACAGGGTGAATTCCTATTGGATGTCTGTAAAAATGTTTTACACTGGCTGTGTATAAAAATTAAACTCTACATAATTTTATGACCCACTTGCTTTACCTTGGCCAGATCAGAACAAGAATTCCAAAAGAATATACAAGATAAAAACAAGTGGAGTTAGAAAATAAACATCAAAAGACAGAAATTTAAAAAGTAGTATTTGTTAATGTTAGAGATGTAATAAAATCTTTCATTTTCCTCCACCCAACAGCTTAAGCTATTGGAAGAGAGTTGGTTCATGACAATTAAGTCTACAAACCTTAAAGCCAGATCTCTGAATTGCAATTGTTACTAATCTAAACCGTGGATAATCCTTCAACCTAGAAACAACAAGTGATTTCGCAATCTGCATAAATAGACATATAATTGTATGATTATATAAACTCAGAAAACATATAACATAACTATATCATAATACTCAAACAAGTGGACCAATAAGCAGCACAGTTGGAAGGATGAGAAAATTTCAAGAATAATGAAAAAGAAGAAAGAGAAAAGGATAAAGAGAATGTTGCAGTAATTAAGAAAATCTTAAACTCATAATTTATTAAGAGCAACTAGAAAACTAACTATTTACTTTTTTTAAAATTGAAAACTAGAAATAAATGTGAAACTTCAAAAACTTACAGTTTTACCAAGAAGAAATGCAGCTACAGCACCAACTGTTGCACCAACAGAGTCAGCAATGAAGCCGATTGGAAGGCCGAATAGATAACCACCACCAAGCTGAATGAGGGGTATAAGGTAAGGTGTCACAAAAAATTATTTCTGCCTTTGCTTTATTAAGTTTACTTCTTTAACAGTTACATTGCAAAGGAGATGTAAAGTAACAAGCAAACCGATTATAATGCACACTTTATTATACACTAGAAATTCTAAACGAATCATTTAAGAAATGATGGAGGTGTTTGGAACTTACATCAAACCATGAACACACAAATATATTTTATAGTAACAAAAATAGTATAATGCAACAATGTCACCCAGTTTGTAGAATTTAAACAGCTAAATGATGAACCATGACAAATTCAATTTAAAAATTTACAAATTTTATAAGGTGAGAACTCAATCACAAATACCAATCAATCTTTTAAAGAACAGATCTAAGCGACAACACAGATAGGTCACATGTGTAACACAGGTAGTTGAGAATTCCATTACTCTACAAGAAGCTCGAAAATGTGTGAAGTATTCCAGGGTATCAAAGATTCTTACAGTAAGTACAGCGGCAGGAACTGCCAACACAGTCAAAGGGATGTAAGCAACTATCCTGAAAAGCACTGAACAAACATGAGTTCACAAATCCATGAGTTCAACTCAGCTGTTATCTTGATATTTTAATATGCCCTGTATATGTATAAATATATAATATTCTTTTGGCTAAAATATATTTTTGGAAAAATTTGTACCTGTCTTTTAACTTTTTAAAGATTCGTTTTGTTCCTTTAATTTCAAAATTTGAGTTAATGTTGTCCTTCTAAAACAATGATTATTTTCAATTTTGGGACTCAATTTTAACCTTTTTTTATTGATTCAAGACAACTTTAAGGACCAAATTGAATTTTTCTAATATGATAAAGGATCAAAAGTATATTTTAACCTATTTTTTTCTATAATACTATGAGTAAATAAAATTATCTGATCATAAAAACACATGACAATCTCCTCTAAAGATTACCTTTAAAAATTGCAGTCTAAACTAAAGCCTTTACATGAATAAAAACAAGTATTACGATTGTGAGATTGTAAAAATGCAACAGGAGTTAATTAGCAGGTTAGAATTTTAGTGCTCAAAGAATGAAATTGACTTACAGAGCAAGTGGACCCCATGGCCCAAAATTACGATCAATCCATTCCAATAAGTCCTTCAAAATCTGTAGAGCAAAAGGAGGGTAAAGATTCAAAAATCTCCACGCAACCAGAATGGTTGGAAACGAAAATCCAAATGTGGTGCTTCAGTGCTTATAGAGAAGAATACTATGAAAGTGGCATTGTGACTTGAATACCATATTTCTAAGATGCTATCTTCCATTATTTTCCGGTAATTCACAACTTGAAACAAAATCAAACAAAATCTTCATTTTTCAATGATACTCCTATTCCAAAAATTGTACAAAGTGCTACTTATACTATCCATTGGTCGAAATGGAGTATTCAAATACGAGTTGATAATTTTCCTAGCCCATGTGAGTAATGAGACCATCAATTACTACCAAACCCCATTTCATGAGAGAAGAAAAAGAAGCCGCAGATAAAAAAGTGATTCTAAGCGTGTGTCTAGGAAATTAATCAATTGAACAAAAATGCACTCACCCCATTTCAAGTTTCAACCAAAAGAACTAAAAAGCTTTGCTTATATACATATATATTAAAAAAAAATAGAGGAGTAGATGAACCCAGAAGTGAAATTGAATAAAAAAAGAACCTTGTCAACTGGGAGAGTGAAACAAGCAACAAGAATAGCCGCAACGAGGAGAAGCAGAAGTGTGATGTTGAGAGCAGAGAGGCATGAGAAAGACATGGCGATGGCGGTTCATTCGAATGAGAGTGGAGAGGGTTCAATGATCATGTATGTAAAGCCGTGTCCTTTGATCTTATCTCACACCAAACTAAATTCATAATTCAATCTGCTCTTTAACAATATTCCAGAACAACTCACGCCTTTTGTTTTGCTGCACTTGATACCTCACATTTTCTTTTTTATTTAATTTTTTTTTATTTTCACCGGTCTTCTAATTTGATTTTAGCAGAAGATCAGTCAAATTTAATTAAAGATTATTTTTTATATTTAAATTTTTAAATTAAAAGGTTTAGTTATGTTTTTCACCTCCATATTATTATAATTTTAAAATTTTAATCCTTAAAATTTTAATTTAACAATTATATAATTAAATTTTTTTTTATTTAATTTTTTTTTATTTTCACCGGTCTTCTAATTTGATTTTAGCAGAAGATCAGTCAAATTTAATTAAAGATTATTTTTTATATTTAAATTTTTAAATTAAAAGGTTTAGTTATGTTTTTCACCTCCATATTATTATAATTTTAAAATTTTAATCCTTAAAATTTTAATTTAACAATTATATAATTAAATTTTTTTTATTTTTATAAATTTTAATTAAATAGTTGTGTAATTTTAGTTTATAAATTTTAATTAAATAATTTTATTCTCTCAAATTTTATAATTATATAATTTTAGTCATAATTATTAAAATTTTAAACTATTTAAATTATATGTTATAATTTTAATATGATATATATTTATTATTAATAAAATTACTTATATACTTAAATCGCATAACTGGTGTACTTCGAGCGAAAACGATTTTTTTTTTAAAAATGGTAGAAAACTTTCTAACTTTTAATAATATATTTAAAAATGATTATATCATTAAGTTGGTGTATATCTTTAACAAATTACTCTTAAAAGAAAAAATAATAGTCCAATCTCTTTTAATATAATTATAAAAAAATATTTAATATATATGCTTCATTAATATATTTTTTTTAACACTATTAACAAATTAAAAATTATGTGTTGATATAATATATGTATGGCAATTATTAAAATAATTTACAATATCATTAAAGACGTATAATTTCTTCCTACAAAGTAGACTTTATAAAAATAAAGTGATACTTTCATAAACAATTAAATATTTAAGTCAATTCTTATCCTTAATCAATGAATATAGATGTGAAATTATTTAAATTAATAACTTTTTGTGTAATTTTTTATTAAAAAAAATTACAATGTCACTAAAGTAAATGTAAGTTTGGTGTATATATTTAATTATTTAAGAAAAAATTAGAATGAAAAATAATAAGAAAGTTAAACAAGAATAAATATACTTGCATTATTTGGTTAAAAAATGTACTGGCAATTTATTTGATTTAAATAACGATAGCAAGAATTTTATTTTTGTTAATGGAAATTTATAGAAACAATTGTTAATTAATATTTATATTTTTTTTTGTTAACGAGTATTAATATCGTTTAAAGTTATTATTTGTGAAATATTTAGTTTTTAAATATTTGTTTTAACTTAAACAAAATATATAATTATTTATATTTAAGATAATAAATTTTTTTATTCAATACACCGATACACAAGTTAAATTTTTATTATATGTAACTAAAATTTATAATAAATTATATATAAATAAATAAAATATTAAATTCTTTTAATGTATATTTTGAATCATCCTTCAACTAATTAAAAATCTTTTTCATTTTTAATTAAATTCATATTTTATAGTTTAAAAAATCACAAATATCAACTACAAATAATTTATAAAAAAAAATTTGGTTAAAATTTTGGAGAATGTATAATTGTTCATAAATAAATATTATGTTTGAATATATAAATTATATTTAAAATTTATATAAATAAACATTTTAAAGTATATTATATTTTAAATTTTTATGAATAATTTGTATTGTAGTACAAAATTATTTTTATTTATTGATAATTTATTTTATAATATTAAAATATAATTAATAAATAGTTATGATAAAAAAATTAAATTAAATAAAAGTTAAACTTTTATTGAAAAAATTTTTATTAACACGGTGTCACGTAAAACAAACGTTTGTATTTAATATATAAAGATTCATTTATCTAAATAAGTCTCGAAGATATTTATTTTCAAATTCCATATCGTATATAAATTTAATTAAAAATTAATGAAATTTTCTGATATTGTACGATTATTTTTAATTTGTCTAGATTTTTTTTTGCTTATTTGACTTATTTTTAACATATTTACCACTCTTTTCTGTTTAAATAATAATAAAGTGTTTTTTGGTTTAGACGAGTGCATGTCATCTCGAATCCGAGACCAACAATAGTTTTGCAATATGCAAATTATTTCACTAAGTTGTGGATAAACAATGATAGTTCACTTTAACCGTTTTGAGTAATTAAATTTAACGAGATAAATTTCATGTGTTTAATTAAAATAAAAATAGTTTAAAATTATGTGTTGAAATTGAAAATAAGAAAATCAAATCAACTCTATAAAAATAATTTAAAATTTTGTGTTGAAATTGAAAATAAAAAATTAAATCAACTCAAATTTAAAAGATAAAATTAAAAATAAGATAATATGAGAAAAAATCAAGTTGCTTCATTCAATAATTTATTATATTATTAAATTAAAAATTATTACATTTTATACTATTTATAAGAAACATAAAATAAATCAACAAGGAAAAAAATTAAATTGGTTACTTTTAATTAATTCTATCATAGATTTAAATTTTATTCCAAAAATATCTTTTATTTTTAGTGGTTGTTATATTTAATATTAGTTATAAGTAAATATATGAAAAATAGAGTGAACAATAAATTAAGGATATAAAAAAAATTATCTCTCAATAACTTTAGAGACTAATGAATGTTGTTTACAATTAGAACCAAAAACAAATCCAATACATTACTTAGAATTAGAATCAAATGTAACATTATTGAATAGATCAGCTTTATAAATTTTTACAAAATATGAAAATCATGGGATACTTATTTATTTCAAAGTTAGAAAAAAAAAACATTATATTTAAACTTTGACTTGAATAAAAAAAATTAAGGTGTATCTAATACATCAAAATAAAGTTTTGTTTTTAAATAACATCCGTGTAACTTTGTCAATTATTATACATTCAATAACTTTCAATTGAATATGATTTTTTAAAAACTTACTACTATATTCGAAGTTCATTACTCCTAAATCCTATATACACAAAATTTAATATTTATCAAATATTATTTGATATCTAATTTATATAGATTAAAATATAAATAATATATTTATTTTAAAAATATACTAAAATATAAGCGTCTTAATTATCTTTGAATTGTTCGATTTTAACAAAATTTAATATTAACATACAAAGTAATATGAAATTATAATTTAATGGTTGGATATAAAAATTGTATTTAATATAAAATTGTTGAGTAATATAATAGTTAATAAAAGTTATATTGATATCATTTAAACCCCCCTCTATACAGGTGTAATAGTTACATTGATGTCATTTGAATCTCTCTATATATAAAGAGGAGAGATTCATTTACTCTAAGAAAATAAGTTTATCTAAACTTATTTCGTTAAATAATTTATGTTCTATATTAAATTTTAACAATCCAATAGCTGAATTTAAAGTTTTTAATACAAAGACTAGTCTTCAAATTTTTAAAAAATTTAAAAATCATTTGATACTTGGTTTCATTAATTTAAATCAACATATAAAATATTTGTTTATGATTAAGTGTAAACAAATCCCTTCACACATACACACACTTATAAAATGTGTGTAAACCTACAAATCTGAAGGAAACGTGGTTCACAAATCAACAACAAAAGAGAGAAAAAAAAAACTAGGACAAAATCCCTATCATTCTAAGTAGCATCCACTGTTATACTGAATATTAGTCTTGAATATTTAGATATCAGATTGAAGAAAATTATTTATTTTACTTATAGTTTTAAATACTACATCCATCATATACGAATCACATATGATGAGTGTACCATGTAAAAAAGATAGGTGTGAGAAGAAAAATTCTTATTTATTAACCCAAAATTGGGATGAGATTAGGTTAGGTACCTTGAGACTAATTCACATGTTCTTTATGGTAAAATGATCATTTTTAATAATGTAAGGTTGATTATTTATGACTAGAACAATTTTTTTTATATTAAACATGAATTATTATTTTGCATAAGAATATTTATAAGAATTTTTCTTTAATAAGAGAGTATATAAGAATTTTTTAAATTTTTTATTTAATTATTTTTTATTTATTATAATTATTTATAAATTAAATTTTAATAATTTAAAATAAATTATCAAATTAATTTTGTATTACAATATAAATCTAAAATATAATTTATATATTCAAACATAATATTTTATATATATATATAATATTATAATTTTTAATTATATATAATAAATATTTAACTTGTTGAATCTACATAATAAAATAGTAGTAGAATTAAAAACAAAAGCTTTGTTCATGTCTTTGCTACACTTCAACGCTAGGTTGAAAATTCTGATACATTGGACACTTAACATTTTAGTGGGCCTAACATTATATCTTTTTTATCAAATAATAAAATTAATAATTAATGTTTATGAAATATACGAATGTAGGGTTATTTATGGAACCTAATCAGTAAAAATAAAATAAGAATTATTAACTTAGAGAAATGAATTACTTAAATTATAAAAATAAATGTGAAAAAACAATTCATAATAATAGAAAATCAAAAGGTAAAAATAAAAATAGTTAGTCCGATAGGAATTATCTAACTCAAGCCATGAAGGGTCTAAAAAAATTCCGAAATCCCCTGGCAAGATAAATTAATAAAGCTTGCTTTTGTTCTTTTAAGGTATAGGATTTAGGGTTCAGGATTTAGACTAAAAGCAAGACCTTTCTTGCTTCTCAAATTTTGCTTTGGAAAATAAAAAATCATGGATATGTTTTTTCAAACAGGTAACCAAACATGCGCTATATAATTATCTTTACCGGTTTAATAACTGATTCAATTGTAAAAACCTTGAAAAATGGAAACAAATATAAAAGGACAATAGCAGAAAACTAGAAACAAAAAGAAGATACAACATATAGATGGATAAATGATAAATTACTGGAGTTGAACCATAAATAAATTATGCACTAATGGTTGATGAAGACGAAGTTGGACAATCCATGTTCCATGGCAAGCATGCCAGAGAAAAAGCCGAAAAGGAAAAGAAGTGCATGCATGTGTTAGTTAGTAAGAGATAGCGTACTATTACCTGGTATTAAGAAATTTGGTACGTTTGTTTCCATCAGTAATTGTAACCGTCCACTGCCATCAACAACCCTACCTAGATGGCTACGAGTCATAGTAGTAATAAATATTTGGAGATTCTTTTCTATAATCTTGTTGCTAAATATCTTTTAATTTTAGGTTGACTAGTTTCTAATGAAAAACTTAGTTAACCACTTTTAGCCTATCACTCCTTCCAACCATGTTTTTCCCATCCACAATTTGATCTAATGCATAAATTTTAAGCTCATGAGAACCCAAACAAAGAGATATTAACACAAAGAATAGCCTTTGAATAATCTATTGATAATCGATGGTAAAATGTGTTTTGGGGAGTTAAAATCCCCTGCTAATCTACAAGTGGAACAAACTCATGTATACATAACTCACTAACAAAAATATATGAGCAAGAAAGAATGCCAAACCTAACTTTATATAGAAACAGCAAGAGTCCAATCCAATCACAAAGGACACTACCTCAATAGTCTTCAAGCAAGCAAAGTTTTGCATTATTATTCTATAAGCTGTGCACACACTTGCTTCAAATGCTATCTTGCACACAAGGCATTGAGAAGAACATGAGCCAACATAAGGTCCACAAAATATTGGTGTCCAATTTCTCCATCTCGCCACTTCATCTTTGCTGGAGCTCTTCCATAGTGAACTCCATCATTACACCGGTTATCAAAATGCCATGGAAATGTCATATCAAAGTTATCGATCACACCAGACACAACTCCTGCTTGCTTCAATTTCTCCAACAACACACCATTGAACACCTCCATCTTGTTAGGATTGAATGCCAGTGACCTTGCATATCCACCAGTTGCAACTGTAGTCCTGTAAAACACTCTTGGCCATGCCAACCCCCTTTGTCTCACTGCCTTCATAACATCACCCCAAAAGGATGCTGCATAGTCTGCTCCAGCAGAGAATGCTCTTATGTTGCGCCAGTGCACGCCATCATGCAAGCCAGAGTTCATGATCACAGTGTCAGGAATTGTGTCCTCTGAGAAGTATTTCCTTAACAAATCTTGAAACCCTTCATCTCTCAGAGAATCCAGCCCCAGATAGTTTTGTGTCTCATTCCAATGCCCATTGAAGATGCTTGTAATCCTAACTGTTTGAGAAGGCTCTTTTGGGTTGGAAAAGTTCATGTCAAACCTTCTAGGGACAGCATGTATCTCAGGCAAGTCCAAAACAAAGTTGAGCATGTTCCTTATTGTGTCAACATGATTTGAATCACCCCAAAAGAAGATCCATCTGTTCTTCAAGCAATTCCAAGCAGACTCGGCTGAATACAACTTGAATGAGCAGTGAGTTGAGTACACCCAACCATTACTCTCCAGAATTCCCAAGGAACCATCACACCAAGGAGCATTGCAAGGAAAATCCGGCGCTAGGCACCGGTACCTACCATCATTTTCTATGTTGCAGTCATCATTCTTTCCATGCCTTGTCCACCTTCCACTCCACACATCCCTGCCAAAATCAGAAGCCTTGCAAGCCTTCAGTTCTGGTAGCTGAACACCATTTCTGTAGAACCTGATTGCTACATTTCGCAGCATTCGGTCATAGGAAAACCTCCAAGGGGTGAATTTGAGACCTTCAAAGTGTCTATAAAGCAGGATTATTGTAAGATTGTAAACCCCATCAAAATCTGGATGAACCTGCAGTGAAATTGAGTAAGAACCATTACTGAAATCCTTCACCAAAGGCCTAGATTTCCATGATTCCCCTGAAAGATCGGCCTCAAAGTAGTCTCCACCTAAACAAAGAGGCTTCCCTGAATCATCTAGTGCTTGGAAACCAAACTCATGCATATCACCAGCTGATAACTCCAACACGCTTTCACCCTCCAACCCAGGAATTGAAATCTCAACAGCCTTGGAATCTTTACAAGGCTCACCTCCACGAGCTGACCATCTAGCTATGAGATTTGAAGTAAGGTTGGGTTCTAACTCACTTGAAACCCAACTTGAGTGCCCCTCAACTAGAAGGGACTCTTTGCCTAGCTTTTCATACACAGGACTTGAATGGTCTTTTTTATCCAAAGTAAAAGTTAAATTGTGAAGCGGAAGAGTGAAATCAGGAGTGTGAGACCTTACAGCAAGATAATCTTGTTGGTACCTCCAAGCTTGAATGATGTTCTTGACTGTGCAACCATCGATGCTCCAAACCACAACCATTCCAACCAAAACCAAAGCAGTGAGCAACCCAACACGCCAATGAAGCATTGGAATGGACCACAGAGCCCATTGGGGCGAAATCACAACCTTCTCTGGCATGGCATCACAAAACGCCACCACCCCACAACAGCTACGAACAAATCCACCGTCCAATACCGCGAAAGTTGCTAACTTTTGACGACAGCACGTCAAAGCAAAAGTATCGATTTCCCCGAGGAAATAAGAGAAAAAAAAAAGTTTAGTGAAAGATGGGGAAAAACAAATTGTGGGATACTCACAAGTTACAAGGTGAGTTTCCAATTTCAATGAAATGTGAGAGATAGAGTTGCGGCGAATGGGGTCGGTGTGAGTTGGAGAGGACGAAGGTTTTTCTTTTTCACATTGAAGTCCATGAAAGTAACTTGGCAGATTTCAGAAATGTATGTCCAAAGAAGATTTCAACCTCTCATAGTTTATTTATGAACATTACTTCTTTTCTCTCTTTTTTTTCTTCTTCATTTTTATACACTTGATTGGCTTACATACAGCTATGGATTTTTCTTTTCCTTGTTTCTAATCAAAGTTGTCTTTTGCTTTATTATTATGCTTAATTCTTAATTACTACGACTACTACAGTGGATGTGGTTTTCGGTCTTAAACTCCTGTAAGCATGGAATTTGATTTAACATAACATAAAATTCGTTAGCCAACATTAAATGGATTCACTGTTTTATAAATTTTACATGAGTAATCTTATTATCTTCAACAGAAAATGAGTGATCTTGTAATTTTTTTTTAATTGTCTTACTATTTTATAAAAATATCTAATAAAAATATTTGATATTTAAAAATATAATTATTAGTTTTTTCTATTTCTTAAATAAAACATTGATAAAAATCTTATAAATTGTCCAACTTAAAAGCAGTTTAATTAAACTATTTCTTTTTACCTTCATTTGTTATTTTTTAAGAGTCCCTTTGATTTCACCTTGTTGAGTAAACTAAATATCATGACAATTATAAGATCTTATTAGTAAATATTTTAAGGGTATTGGTTAAAAGTTTTAATATGTGGTTCATTTCCTTTTTTCTCCCGTGAATTTCTAAAATAGATTTTGGTAATGAGTCTTTTTTTTTATAAATATATATATATATGAGGAGGGTTCAAACGACACCAGTGTAACTTTTACTAAGTGTTAAACCGCTATGTATATATTACTAATAAAATAAAAGGTTGGTTTAATGCTTATGACATATTAACGGTACAGCATGCTTTGATAATGACGGAAGTATGGAATCCTAAGGCAGTAAGGCGGTAGTGACCCGAGTGTTTTAAAGAAAAATGGAAATTTCATTAAATTAAAATGATTAAACATATTGTCCATCTTACCAAAATTATATTATTCTTTAATAATATTTTTACATTATGCATTAAAAAAAGTTTAATACATCATTATTTCTAAAAAAATTTAAAACAATTTAGGAGAAAATGGTAACAATTAGGAGTGATAAGGTGGTCCAGGTAGTTTGGAATGAGGGATATAAGGTTGGAGTGATAAGGAGGGTGTGGGTTCGAATCCCCCCACTAACAACTAACAATTAACAATTAACATTTACCTATCAAAATAAATAAATAAATAATAATAATATAAAAAAAATTATACAGTCTTTTAATTACAAAAAATTATTTTTTTAATAGCATCTTTTTAATAAATTGACAATGTAGAAACTTTTTATATTGATAATGTATGATTATTAAACTCAAAATTTAATTAAATTTCTAAATTTAAACATTTGTAATTAGATTATTGATAAGGAATGTTAGTTTTTTGTGTTTGATATTTATTTAGAAAATTTTCAAGAAATATTGTTTTTCGAGAATTATTTTTTATCTCACTTTCTCACAAAAATATTTTTATGAGGAGAATGAAAATCTAACGTTTTCGATTAGGAGGGGAAAGTTCTAATTATTTAAAAAATTATAATATCCATATTTAACATAAAATATATATATAGTTAAGTTTAATCTTTCCAAAATATCTCTCTCGCTCTCTCCCCCCACCTTCTATTTCTCTTT